TCCATCCTCCCAGGGGCCAGTGGTCTCCTCCAGCCCTGCCAGAGCAGGATACTGTGCCGCGGGGCAGGGATCTTGCTCAGCCCAGAGTTTTTGTGATCTTGAACCCGGGCCTGGACATGGGAGCATTGTTCGTGCAGCTGGGGAATTGGGAGAGCTTCACCCACCCTTCCTTTCTTCTGAGTCCAGCCTGTAACTGCATTGCCTTCCCTTGCTACAAGGGGTTTGATGTACACAAGCAAATAACTTAAAATGCTTAAGTCCCACAGCTTTGTCCCTCTGGTTTCATTTCACCCTTAAGTAGCACTGTTAACTCAGATGTTTTTTCTTTCCTCTAAGGCGCCAAGGCCGCTGGCACACCGGAGACCGCAGAAATCCTTCTTTGAGACGCTTATCAGGAGCCTGATCATCTTATGCGTGGCGATAGCGGTGGTCTTGTCGTCCATCTCTGTCTGTGATGGCCGCTGGCTCTTTGCGAGGGGGCAGCTCTTTGGACTGTGGCACTTCTGCACCATTAGCAATGGCAGCGTCCTGAATTGCGTCACTGACCTCAGCCTGGCCAAGGTGGAGGGGCTGAGTGTGGGGGTGATTCCCATAAGAAGCATGGTGTCCTTTGCTGTTGTAGTCGCCATATTTGGCCTGGAGCTGCTGATGGTGTCCCAGGTCTGCGAGGATGCCAATGCAAGGCGGAAGTGGTCGATGGGCTCGGTTCTCATTCTTGGCTCATTTTTGCTGTCGGCTTCTGGAGTTCTGAGCTTCTCCATCCTCGTGAAGGATCACCTCACGTTCATGGGCTTCACGCTGACATACTGGTGTGAGTTCATTGCTGCCTTCCTCTTCTTCCTTAATGGGATCAGCGGACTTCACATCAACAGCCTCACACACCCCAGGAACAGGGTAGGCAAAATCTAGTTGCAAAGGGTGTATCTCTGCCTTTGTGTAATCAGCTTTGCCAATTAGACTGGAAAAAAGGGAGTCTAACGAAGTTTGAAAAGGACACCGTGTCTAAATTGTGTGCAAGGAGGGGAAGTATGAGTCAGTCTTGATGCCTGTAGAAGACATACCCACCCACTGGTCAGCATGGAGGACTGCGCAACATGAGCGAACTGAGACTGAGACTGGCTGCTGCTGAAATGCGTTCTTCTGGAGGAGCGGTTTAAAGAAGAGGGTGTCCCATCAAACGTCCCAAGGGGTGGCAGACTGCGATCCACACACGTGGGCTCAGTTTTGAGGCTTACACCAAGCCTGTACTGCTGTGGGCTTGGTGTTGCTAGGCTTTCCCTCATACTCTGGAGCCTGTGAAGAGTATGACACAACGTTGGTGTATCTCATGGCTTTACTCTGTCTCAGGGACAGATGGTTTGTGCCTGGCCATGGTCACTGGCATGGAGTGTTGAAAATCTTCACTGGATCTCACTCCTCCATTTATTTTTCAAAAGAGAAGACACACAGATCTTGGTCTGGTCACTAGTTTTGTTTCCTGCTGGCACATTCTCTGTATCTGTCCTTTCCTCTGAGTTTTTTGGGGACACCACTGACAGAAACACAGGGAGATGTAGCTGCCTGTAGGACACATGCCAATAAGTCATCCAAACTGACTTGCAGCCCTTGCAAAGTTCACTGTAATGGTGCATTGCTCTTCCTGGTTTCTTTTTTGTCCCTTTGGGGCAAGAGGGACAAGTTCTGCAGGGGCTTTAGGTGGGCATTGCAGCTGGGCAGACCATGCAGAGACCACTGCACCTTCTGGGCGGTGTTAAGGCTGGTCTTCCTCCTGCCAATGTTTGAGTCAAGATCTCTACAACTGCTGCAGCTTTGAAGTTCCATTTGGTGTCTAATGTAAAATAAGAAAAGAACTCAGAGGTTGGGTTGCCCTGCATGTGTCCTCCCTGCCCAACATACAGCACTCCAATGACCACAGATAAAAGTATCTTCAGAATATTTCAGGGTCTCTGGTTTAATGTTTGTTTTGTATCCTCTGGTAAGACTGCTTGTGTTTTTGTGTTAGGACAAATGTTTCTACATGTTTCATGTCTGTAGGTTGTCTGATAGCTGTTGAGCAAGCTTTTCATTTCCTGTGCAGCAAGTTTGACACAATTTTTCACCTGAAACAGAAGCATCAAAGCACAAGGGCCAAGAAGGCCATGTAGGTGGGCCATGAGTAAACAGCTTTGTCTTTGAAAGCTAGGAATCATAAGCCCTGCCTGAGCGGACATCCACACTTGCTGAATCTGCTCTTATGGACTCACTTGCCTTTATGAGGACAGTCTCCATTCCTTCTTGGATTTCTATAACTTTTTAAGACAATGTTCCTAAGTCTGTTTTGCGATACAGTTTTAGACCAGGCTTGCTCTGGACAGTGCTAGTTGTGCTTTTGCACATGAATCTGGCCATCTTCCTGGTAAGATAATGCACAAAGCTGTGCTACCTAGCCAGCTCCTGAAGCTCTTGCGATGTTTGGGGCTCAGTCAGGGTTTCTTGACCCACTCTCAAGGGCAAGGACTTGTGCCCTTAACCTGCCTCTGGAAAACTGCACTGTGAATGTGTGTGTGTCTGTGAAGGTGCTTTTGATTTATTGCATTGCACTGTTGAAGATGTGCTAGTGGGCTGAACTTGCAGGTGCTTGCATGAACAGTGCTGTTGGCTTTAACAGAGCCACGTACCCCAGAGAGGTTCTGCAAGGTCTGGTCCCAAACTGTTGAACCTGGGTGTTTCCAGGTGGTAAAAATGCCTTAACTAACCAGTAAATCAGTTGTGGTGCCTTCGGGTGCCCATGGCAGGCAGGACAGTTCCCCCACACGAGGTCAAGGGTGTCCATGCCTTGCCTAGAAACATGGATGTAACTTCAGAGTGCCTTCTTGGTGACAATCCAAAACTGGAAATCAATTCTGCAGGTACTCCTCTTCGTGCTAGTGGGAGGCAGTGCCCCCAGCCCTTTCCCTGGGGGAAGGCAGCCGTAGCCAGACGGAGTACCAGGCTGGTGCCATCCACTCGGCTTAGAGGGAGGCAGTGGACAATTGGCCATTGAGTTCACACAAGACTTGGTGCAATTGTGAATGATTTTTGGGATGCCCTTTGCTAGCTGAAGAGGCCTTTTGTTAGGGGTAGGGAATCCTCTAGGGAAAATACAGTAACGTTTTTTCCGACTGGCTTTGTATAGTACTGCTTGGCTTACTAATGCTGGGAGAAGATGCGTTTTGATGGCTAAATACTACAAAACAAGGTTGATTGTCTCTGGGACAAACGTATATACAGCAGCCTGTGCAGCAATGGGTAACTGTTCATTTTCTGGTCTGTAGAAGTGTCAAGCAATATTCCTGAATTTTCTTAAATAAATTTCTTTGAAGTAAGATAATTGTAATTCTCTCTCTTTATATTTAGATATTAGGGTTCAGGTTTAAGGGGATGAGTGGGGTTTACGTAACCTCCCAGGCACCAATTCTGTGTGTTTCCCCAGCTAGACCGATGCAGAAAAGACTGCTTGGTGCTCTGCCGAGCTCTGACCAAGGGAGCCGAGGCCACAGAGCTGCTGCACGCTCCCCTCTCCTTTCTCCTCCAATATGTCCATACCAACCCCAGCAGCCAGTGTGCTTTCTTGTCTTGCAGAACAAGAGGGGCAGTCAGCTGTGCTGCTTCGTGGGAATTAGAGATAACCTTGTAGGCTATTAATGATTTCCTGCTGTTGCATGTGCTCTGTTTACCAGCTAAAAAGCTCTTTCCTGTGTCCTTCACCTCCCTTTTCCCACACCGCACCCTCTGTCTGAAGCATCCTTGCTCTCTTTCCCAGCTTTGCTTATTTGACCTGCAGAAGTGGTATCTGAGTACAAATGTATTTATGCAGGTTTTTTTTCCCCCCTGAGCTCACTGTACTAAAAGGTTTAGTTAAATGTCAGGAAAACAGATTTCCAGCTTCACTACTGAATTAGTTTATGTAATCTCAAGGAAGTTAATTAGCACCTGGTGTTTTCTTTCTGATGGGAGAGGTTATTGGCCTGTCTCAGATGGCTTAATATCTCTTAAAAGCAGGGTAATGAACATCACCTCTTGTTAATGAGCTGTTTAGACTTGCTCAGTTGCTAACTTTAATTGGAAACTTGTGCACTAATCATCGCTTGCAGATAGGAACAAGGAAGTAATGGTACAGGGTATGCTAGCTGGGGAGATATTCTGGACTGTTACTGCTGGTTTGATTTTAAGTCTAGAGTACCTTCATCAGCTGTGCTTGGAGGGACACCTGGTTTGGGGGTTGAGCTTTGCTTGTTTTTGTGAGCCAGAGGAAGGTGATTACAGGAAGAGGAGTGCCCTAACCTGCCTTCTCTTCCCCTCTGCTGGGGCTATGGTAAGCAGGTAACAGCCCTTCGTCTAAACTCACCACCTCAGCTTGCACACGTAAGAAGGGCCTCGTTTCTGGGTGAAAGCAAGGTCTGTCCCGGGGAGTGTCCTGGAGAGGTGCTGGCTGGATGCCTGGGGCCTCTCACCTTCACAGGGGTGCAGCCCCTCTGCATTGGCACCACCCCCTCCTGAAAGAGTTCATTTCAGCCCCCCCCCATGCCCAGCCAGGTGTTGCACAATGCAATTACTCACTGCACAACAATACTGCTTTTTGCTTCTGACAGTTTTGCTGGGAACTTCCTTCTTGTTGTGTTGGGAGAGAAAATCCGTTAATCACTTCCTCTTAAATTCAGCCGTAGGTCTTAGAACAGCTGATGTTTGGGCTCCGGGAGCTGCTGGCTGCACTGCTGGCTTGCAGAGCTGCAACTGGCTTCTTGGGGCACCTGGAGTGGAGAGCCAGAGGCTGTCACCAGTGTCCCAGAGCAGTGATAACTACTCATCTGAAAGATGGTACTCAAGTCCTATTTACTGATGACAAACGCCTGTTTTACATTGAATACTGAGGAGCAGGGACAGAGAAGGGGAAATCAGTGAACTCTGAATATGGAGTTTGTGTTCAGCCTGTGTCAGCATCTTCAGGCCACTGATGCTGGAGTCTGCGTGCCTTGCACCCGTTCATCTCCAGCTTTTTGCATCACTTGCTGAGATTTACTTCCCTATTTCTCTTCATCTGCTTGTAAACGTGTAGGTGTTCCTGGAGTTAAGTCGCTCATTGCTTCAGCATTGTTCAGTACAGTTAACTGAGAGAGATATCCCCATCAGGGAAGGGTGCTTCTGCATCGCCTGTGCAGAAGATGGGCGAGGTGAGAATCCATCCCACTATGGTGGTGTTTGGCAGCAGCTTTCGACATACAGGTCACAGCACCATAATGCCTGGGGCTGCCTGTTTCTGGCACCTGCCCGAGTGGACTTGCTTTTCCCGAAGAGCTGAGGACTCCGAATGTCTGAAGCAAACATGTAATACAGAATCTGGGAATACTTCCTTTTTGTGGTTATTTCAGGTAAGTCAAATAAAAACAAAATGGCTGTATAAAACAATAACTTATCCTAAATCTTTTTCTTTTAAATACAAAAACCAGCAGCATTTTATTTCAGGGCATGTGGTTTGTCCCTGTTTTACCAGGACTCCTGGACAAATAGGCATCACGCTCAGCCTGGGCTCCACCAGACCTTGTGCCATCAGTGCTTGTCCTAACTACACACTGCAGGGCTGAGTTCTTACTGGCTTGTGGGAGAGCCAATAATTGCATCAGGTCTAATTAATTACATGTTATTGTATCTCTGAATCTATTTTTCTTCATTTATGCCGGAAGAAGGCACTTGCATTTAAAACAAACAGCTGCTTTGGCTTGACTGATGTATGTTTAATTCTCAGGGAACATACAAGTTGTTTCACTCTTCTTCATCTTATTTTTAGGCGAGAGAGAAAATTAGGCTAATGGTTGTATCTTTTCGGAAGTATCTCACTTGCTAAATGTGCTGGGACAGAGTGAATCCCCAAGGAGGCCGGAGGCTTTGCTTGGCTTGGGTAAGTCAGTGAAAAGTGAGATCTTCCACCCAAACATGCATGGAGGGGCTTTCACTTCTCCCTCAGTCACGGGACTGATCCTGCTTCTGCTCTTCCTTCTGCTTGTTTTGGCTGAGTTTTAAAGGACAAAGCCAACTCAAAACCTTGCAATTTCAAAAAAAAAAAAAAAGTAAGTTTAAAATTAATTCCTGGAAACCCTTACCAGTTCACTGCTTTGTATTTGATTTTTTTTCCTGGTTTTAAAGAGGTTCAACTCTCCCACTGCTGGGCAAAGCCAACGGGGCAGGGGATGCCAGAGCGAACGTCCTGCTGAGGTGCCCTTCCTCGCCTGGCTGCCATCAGCGGTGCTGCTGCCTGCAGTGCCTGCTTCCCCGGGGGAACTGTCCGCGCCGGCAGAGAGGGAAAAAAAAAAGCATTTTTCCTGAATCTTTGAAACAGTGCTAATAGCACTGAAAAATCTGCTTCTGTACAGGTAATTTAACTTTGAAAGCATCCTTTGACTTTCTCTGCATGTTTGCCTTCTGTTAAAACGGCAGAAGTCTACCACGAGGGTTTGCTGTGAATAAAAGCTTGTTAGAGCAGTTTTGGCAGAGCGGTTGGGGAATGCCGCTTGGTCAGCATTTGACATACCATGCACGTTTTGCCAATGTCTTATAGGTGATCAGGAGGAGGGTGAAGTGTGATAAACACCACTTGCTTTCTGTTTAGTCGTATTTGCCCTTGAAGAAAACCAGGCAAGAATTGCCCCAACTGGGGAAATGCAGATACAATATCAAGTAGGAGGCTTGATTGCATTTGTGGAATGAATTCTTTTATCTCTTTCCAACTCAAACCAGGGAAATTTGCTTAACAATTTTATCTTTACGAACATAAAGCTGTAAAAGATTTCTGCACGCTGAGTGATCATGGACTGTAGAGAGATTTTTGCCAGCCATTACGGTGTTGTTTTTCACAAGATACCTTGTAACGTCCAGTTCAATTGAGTTTTAAAGGGCTTTCATTGCTTCCCTTCCAAGACTAGCAGGACAAGTCTCAGCAGTACAGACGCAACAGAAAAGAGCCATCTTACTGAAGTTTTCTTGGCCACCCTTGGAATATGCTATAATAGCTTTTTTTTTTTTACCATTTCAAAAAACATACAAAAATCCAAACTGTTATTTCTGAGATCTCCGCTGTTAGAAGAGGCAAAGGAAGAAAACTCTCTGAACCTGCCACCGTCACCGGAGCATACCTGAGCAATGGATGTGCAGCTGGATAGGAAGCATTAGCTCAGCCATGCTTTATGTTCTCAGTGTCCACCATCCATCACCACAAAAGAAAGACTTTGAATCTTGGTAAATTTTAGGGATGAATTAATTTTGCATTTCGAATCCATGAGCTGTGTTAAAGAATGGCACGGAACATTCATCGTACAAAATTGCACATCCTCCCAGCTTCAACAGCAGAAGAAATAACGAACATCTAAAACTCACCAGCCTGGCTTAGCCTGGAACATGTTGGAGAGCCACATGGAAAATGAAAGGTCACATTTAAGGTAGAAATAGCAGCTGAAAAATATCGGTGTGGAAAGAAACACAAATGACTGTGGCCAGAAACCTAAGGAAGAGCATAATCTTTCAGCCATTTTGCCTTACAAAATAACTCTGGTGCTACACAGGATGTAGATGAACAGATGCGCTTCAAGAACCATTGATCTACAGCCAAGTCCCACTTTCGGATACATACACAAGACTCCCAGCACGGTCCACGGGACTTAACCATGTGTATCTGAGCACGGAGATATCCTTCAGGCATACAGTGTTAAAGCACGCTTGATCTTTGGAGGGTTGTTCTCCTGTGCTCTGGTGGGCTCGACCTCACTGTCTGCATCTCTTGAGTTAAGCCACTTCCTCCGTTACTTGCTGAGGTGCTGAGATGCTGACGCAAGTGTTTGCTTAAACGCCACTGCCTCCATTTTCTCTGAACTTCCAGTTGAACCTAGGTAGAAAGGTCACAAAATACTTAGTTCAGCTAGTTTATCTTGGAGCCCTGCATTGCAGAGAGCAGTATAACAGGAAAAGGAGAGCGGGTTACCTTCGCCAAGGTTTAGATTTATTTATTTAACCCCCAGTTTAAGGGGTTAGGATAGGGCCTGTTTCTTGTCACTTCTAGTGGTATTGTTGTTGCAACCACACAATTTTCTGTTAACCTGTGTTTCTGTTTAATTGCAGGTGAAACCGCTCACGGAGTCTAGCTGGCCTTAGTTTGGGTTAGATTTTTCCAATATTTTTATTTTAGTTATAAAAATGGGTCATTTTAGCACTCTAAGGTAAAAAAAATTGCAGATTTTCTTTTCAAAACCACTTTTTCTGAACCCTGTTAAACATCAAAGTATTTCAAACCTCCTCTCCATTTCAAAGTGATCTTTTCTTCCAACCTTAGGCACTAATGTTTGGGTTTCTTTATTATTTTCCAATAACCTCAGGATCTCCCAGATTTGGATAATGCTTCCCCCCACCTTTACCAACAGCAGCATTTCAGAGTGCAAGTTCTAGCCCAGAAGCCTGGAAGTTATCATACGACTACAAAGGAAACGGTCCCTCTTCTAAAAGCTTTACCTTACGAGGGTCTGGACTGGATACAGCTCTTGATAAATTCCCTCCCAAGGATGAAGCACAGAAAACAGCCGTGGGATGACAGGTAATAGCAGCACGCATCAGAACCAGTTGGTTGTAAGTGTGACTGTGTGCAGGATGGTACTCCCACCCTCTGTTCCCAGACAGTAATAATGCTATCTGATTTACAAAAGGGCTGCAATAGTTGACAGGTGAAGTTTCCATCTGGCATACAATTACTTGGGCTTGCCAGGTCTAGGAGGTATTTCACTAGTGACGTTAGGTAGCTGGGAAGAAAACCCTCAGATAAAACATGTAATTCATTGGAGAATGTATCCTACTGATTAATGAGGCATGCCTGAGCGATAAAAAAAGAATATTATATACACAAAACTCACCTCACCATTAAGAAAACAATAAAGTACAGCCACGACAAAGCCCTAAAAGATAAAAGAACCATGGTCACAGAATTAGAACAGCAGTTTCAGCTTTTAAATGGAGACGAGGCATCTCAAGGGAAATCAGACAGCTTGGTTTTGTTATTGGGACTCTGCTCTGTTTTTTCTTATTTTAAAGAAATAATAGCTTGTCAAATATTACCTGGAATGATCCAAGAGCCAATTCAAAAAACAGCTGAATTTCCATTGTGCCACTGCTTGCGTCTTCGGGGAAAAAAGCAAAGATGATGTAGTGGATCCCAAAGAGAGGGATGAGGAGAAGCGTTGACTTTGCAAGTCTCCTGGGAATGAAAACAGAGGGGAAAGCCGGTGTAGAAGGAGCAAGAGGAGCTCAGGTGGGCTCATGTGGCATAAAGTCATGATGTAAGGGACATACTTGTATTGGTTGAAATCACTGCTCCGTCCTTCAGGCGAGCTGAGCTTTCTCATCAAGATTCTTAAAATGTTGACAAAAAGAATGAAATTAATCTGAAAAAAAAAAACCACAAGGCAGGACATGAAAAAAAACCCACCACAACCAAACATCAAAACCAAATGCCCAGTAATCACTTCTGTACCTGCCAGGTATCAGCAGAGCCAGTTGTGGGGTGTTTTAGCTGAGCAGGGGTTGAGGCTGGCCTGCCTGTGTCCCTGTCTCCATCCCAGACCCTGTCCCTGCCTCTCCAGCCTGCTTGGTGACCCTGGGCTTGGGTGCTGGCTGCTTTCCCCACCAGTTTGTTGGAGCTTTAGATATGGGGATGATCAGGGCTTATTATCCGGGCAAATCACCAAAGGGCGGTGAGACCAGGCGCATCGGTAGGGTCTCTTCTGGCTGTGGGGTTCACAGCCTCGGTGCAGTCTGGCTCCACTTTGGGTGGCAGCAAAGGGACAGCACTGGAGCTACCGCTCGCTAACTGGGACTGCAAATGGCATTTGTTCCCTGCCAAAAGACACAGCATGATTTGGGATGATGGAGGCAAAGTGGTTAAAAGTGGGGATAGGAGAGAGTCAGCACAAATTTTCCCCCTCTCCAAGGGTAGATATCAGATAAAAATGCTGATCTGTTTCTTGGTTTGGGAGAAGGTGAAGCAATAGCTGTTTCTGCTTGTTTGACCCTCAGGCAAAGAGTGGGTGTTGAAGGGGAGCCAAAGCCACATCAGGGAGCAACCTGGGCTTTATCCGCCCTTTGCATCAGGGCTCCGAAGTCGCCCTGTGCTCCTCCTGCCCCCAGCACTGCCTGCTGACCCACGGCCCTTTTGCAACACCCTGCACCATGGCAGGCCCTTAACCCTTCCCTACTCCTGGAAACACTATCGGAGTGGTGCACTCTCTTCATGGTGGCTGATACGTGCCTTTGGGTGTCAGAGCAGGGCTCCGAGGTGGTGGGTTTCCCTAAGAGAAGCAGGTCTACTTTAGATGGGGCTAGACCCAGGATGTCCCTGGGTTTCTGAAATTATTGGATGAAGTGGGAGCAACTGGTCTGGGCTGCTGAGGGTGTCTGGAGAGGGCTGGAAGTTTGGGGAGCTGGGGAGGGGTGAGGAAAAGAGCAGAGCTGAGAGGAGCTAGGGGTGGGGAACATGAAGGAAAGACTGAAATATTTTTGGGGGTGTTGGGGGGAGGGGGGGAAAGGAGGCTCAGGTCTGAGGATTCTGGGGTTTTTAACCCGCCAGGCCAGGCAGGAGCCGTGTAGGCTGAGCAGGACTTTTTGTTGATGAAAAACTGCTGGGGAAGGGGGGACGGTGGGATTACTGCTGGGAGGGATTGCCCGTGGGCAGCACAGCAATGAGTGTTTGCCTAGGAGCACAAAGGAGTTTATCGGTGTTGATTTTCTGCCCTTTGAACTGCTGAGGACTGTGGCTGTGAGGAATAAAGAGATTAGATCTGAATTCTGAAGGACTGGCTGTTTGTTTGTGGCTATGGGCTTGAGAAAAGCCTCTTTTAGGTAAAGAGGCAGAGCAATGCAGGCGGCTCCTGCTTTAGTGGCTAAGTTAGATGTGATCAGCATTTTGAGGAAACTTGAAAGGGAATAGGGTGGCCCTCAAAAGATAAGTTTAAATTGTACTTTTGCCTTGCAGAATGCCTGGGCCTTGAACGCATTTAAATATTGCTGAGTGGCTCCTGGAGCATAAGGGTTGATTCATTAAGAAAAATAAATGCTGTGGCCTCATTAAGTTGATCATGAATCACTTGTATGGTCTTCTGCTTGTCTTGTGGGGGTGAAGGATTGCTCGGTGGTAAACGGGAGCAGAACTTTAACCCACTACCTCTGCTGCTTGGGTTTCCAAGAGAGCCTGCAAGTGTTGCAGTTGGTGTTTTGCAAATGTAATGGCTCCTACTGGCAACACAAAAACCTCAAACAACTCCTGGGTTCTCACTTGGAGCTTCAGTAGGTAGAGTAACTAGCAGCTTGAGTGTTTCTGTACGAGAGTTTCAGATTGATCGTTGCAGAGTGGTCTGCCCCAGAGCATCTCAGTTGGGCAGAATAACTATCTCCAGCCCCTTGGTACCTAAGGCTCTGAAGGTGACCACCAGCAAATGCTCAAATCATAGGTGTTCAGTATTATTTGTACCAAACTTTTCTTTACGTTGCTACTGCTTTGTACTGGGCTGGTTCACACAGACTTTCAATGCCTATGCCTTATTTCAAGGAGCAATAGCATACTAGTGCAATTGCAGTGCACTTAGATATGGTGCGTGCAGCTTGTGAGCCGCTTTCATTGCTAAAAACAAAAGCTAATGGTCATGTAAGGCAAGTTGTTTTTGGCTTTGCTGACAGGGGCATTGACCGGGAGACACAAAGGCGATTGTACTGAAATGTACAGCCACTTCGTTTCTCCTCCGGAGCCTTCTTTGAAACAGTCCAAAACAAGCTTCCACAAGCCAGCCAAGTTCATATGAAATCAACAGGATGTGGAAACCTGATCTTCTTTAGGCTCTTGCTTCTTGGGAGGACACTCTAGCTTTCCTTGTGAACTTAGCTTCGGGGCATTAGTTACTGACTAAATCCTGCTGAGCAGAAGTTGCTTAAGCAGTAATTCATGTGTCACACCAGTTCAGGCACATGTCTTAGGATCAGTTGATTAACACACTTGTAAAGCTGTTGAGTAGATGATCTCTGACTTCACAATATTTGAAAATACAGTTTGAATCTTCTTGTCCCAGAAAAGACTTACAAAAATAGACAAAACTACAGGGCCTCTAATGATCCACCAGGTATTGGCATTAGCGTTAATGTCCCAACACCTGTAAAAATAGAAGAGAAGGTGCAGTCAGTTATCGAAACACTGGTGTCTTTTCAAAGGGGTTTAGTCTGTTTTGCACTTCAGACAGGCCCCTGTTCCCTTCTTCCACAAAATTAATTTCCTGTTCTCACTTAGCTGCACAACACAGGTTACTCAGAAGCTGTGAATGCCCCCTCCCTGGAAATGTTCAATACCAGGCTGGATGGGGCTTTGGGCAACCTGGTCTAGTGGAGGGTGTCCCTGCCCATGGCAGGGGGTTGGAACTAGATGGCCTTTGAGGTCCCTTCCAACCCAAACCATTCTAGGATTCTAACATTTCTGAACAGAAAACTCTCCACCTGCACAGCACAAAAGTACATCCTGCCCTTAAAGTACAACCACTGTTCAAAATTTTGGAAGGGAGAGGAGAAAGGGTCAAAGTTCACCAGTCAGAAAGTCAAATACAGATGCGGAAAACATTGTGGGCTGAATTCATACTTGAAGGCTACCTCCTACCCTTGAAAATACTCAAATGAAATTTGAGGCTCTTTCTCAGGTTGCTCAGCTGGACCTCTACTCCTGCCCACGCTAGGATTCTGCTGTGGTAGTTGGTTTGCCTGGCTGCCAGAGGTTAGGAATGAGCAGGACCCTGTGGAGCAGCCTGTGCGGGGGCTGCATGCTCCCCCTTGACGTGCCACCTTCCCCCCCTCCACACAACTTACCCAATATTTTCATGGAGTTGCCTAGCAGTCGCCCATGCGGCCACAAACACAGTTGGGGCTCCTGCAATTGGAAAAGCTGGTTACTGCTCTGCAAGTCCATCCCAAAGGCAAAATAATCCCACAGTTATTCTTACTGAAAGGAGAACCAGTACCCCATCCGAGGGCGATGAACCTCCAAAGGAACTTCCTTTCCGAGAAGAAAGAAATAACCAGGAGAGTGTGGAGGTAGAGTCCCTCCACGAGGAGCCAGCTGTAGTTAGACATGATGCAGTACTGAAAGAAGACCATGGTGAGCTTACACCCAGCCTGAAGAAAGAGAGGATAATTAGCTTCTGCCTGGGTTTGCATCTACCTTCTAACAGAGAGTGAGCTGTAAATGAATCTTGGCAAACAGAGAATTTATAGCCATTAGGGGACTAAACTGAACGGGTGGCCTCAAGACAGGCATTTGCGTGACAAGAAAGCAGGACTGGCACTCAACTACCTCACTAGTAAGAACCAAATGTGTCATGGACACATGGGTTTGGATTACTGTCTCACTTAGAGGAGCTCCACTATTACTACCTTATTAGTATCAGTAGCACTATTACCACCTTAGAGAAGCACGTGACTGTATTTGTCAGTAATTTTTTTCCTAAGGAAAAGGGTCAGTGAAAACAAGTTAAAATTTGCTCAAAATGTTCTTGGTCAGCAACAAAAATCCAGCAAAACTGGGAGGTAAAACAACGAACCAACCAATAGCCCTTTTTTTTCCTCCTCCCTAATTCCTATCTTTTGGTTTAAAGCATTGAACATTTGTCTCCA